TGAAAATTTTGCAGATATTGAGGAGCCTTTTTTACCCTGGTAGATTTTCGAATGATGGGTGGTTCTAGTGGTGATGTTTGAAGTTTTTCATCAGGTAGTGTTAAAAGAGTTTCGTCAGGTGCAGGGTTACTGGATATCCCTGATTAGGTAAGTGTGTTCTAGGTGATGAAGGGATGCCAACTGGCCGTGGTTCAGGTGTATAGTTGATAATTTCTGGAACAGGTTTGGTGAAGACAAGCTTAGCTTCATCAATGGGTTTGGCAGCCTATTTGTAAGGAAAATAGACTTCATGGAATGTGACATCTCTAGATATAAAAATGGCTTTTATTTGCAGGTCCATTACTTTGTATCCTTTGACCCCAAAAGGGTAGCCTAAGAAAATACATTGGAGCCCTTTAGGATCAAACTTTCTTCTCCCTTGTGTTAATGTGGAAGCATAGCAATGATACCCAAAAATTCTAAGGTGAGAATAGGTAGGTGCAATGTGAAATAACATTTCAAATGGTGTTTTATTTTTTAACAAAGGTGTGGGGGTTCTATTTATCAGGTAAGTGGCTATGAGGATGAACTCATTCCAATAGGATAAAGGGAGTCCTAACTGGAATTTTAATGCCCTTGCAATATTCATTAAAGGCTGATGTTTCCTCTCAACAACCCCATTTTGTTGGGGGGTTTCGACACAGCTTTTTTGGTGAATAATCCCCTTTAGGTTGTAGAGTTCAGTTTGTTTAATCTCAGGTCCATTATCACTTCTCAAAATTCTAATTGAGGTCTGAAACTGGTTCTCTATCATTTGGATGTATGCTTTAATGGAATTGCCAACATCAGATTTTCTTTTCAGCATATATACCCAGACAGCCCGTGAAAAATCGTCTACTATAGAAAGAAAACATTTAGATCCAACGTGAGCTGTGGTGGGACAAGGACCCCATATGTCACAATATTTCAAAGAGTTGTTTAGATCTATGTGTGCTTATAGGAAAGGGATTCCTGTGTTGCTTTGCCAATGGACATATAAAACATGGAATTCTGCTGGTTTTCTTATAATGAGAAATAACACAATTATCTGAAATGAGTTGCATCCTAGAATCTGATATGTGTCCTAAACAGTAATGCCACAAGTGTGGCTAAACATCAGTGTTAATAACAGAGGTTGCAGCAAGAGGTTTTCTAAGATTTAAAATCGATAGGGTGGTCATCAAACCTATGGATGAGATACTCTGGAGCATGAGTCGATACAAGTCATACCATATTTCACCCTTCTCAATCGTCTTCTAAGACAAAAGGTCCTGTAAATAGCAAGCACCAGATAAAAAGATCAGGCAACAATTCATCAACTGGGTTAATTTCTTAACTGATTGCAAATTGAAATGAAAGTTAGGAACACATAGCACATCATTTAAAATCAGGGAATCAGTGAGCTTAACAACACCAGAGTGTGTAGCTAGTACAATTTCACCATTAGGTAATTTAACTAATAGGCAAATTTTTGACTTAATGGAGGTGTAAAAATTGGTATCACAGATCATATGATCTGTGACATCTGTATCAATAATCCATGGGGTGTTTTCTAGGTCACGAGTGTGTGTGGGTTGTACAAATAAACAAACGATTTTACCAGATTAATCAGATGGGGGATTGATTTTTGAATGATCAACAGTTTGCACATGAATGACAGAGTGATTTGCTTGTGAAATATCCTTAAATCGGAGCAAGGCAAGGAATTCTTCATATTGCCCCTTAGTTAGGGAGACTGGCCTTTCACATTCCTCTTGTACTACACTGGACTGGTTGGGAAGAGTCCATTCTCTCCTCTGGTTTCTGTATAGTTTATGGTTTGGGGGGTAACCATTAAGCTTAAAACACTTTTCCATAAAGTGTCCTATCATATTGCAATGTGTACACAGAGGAGCTTCAGTATTGCCTGCTTTAAAACATTTGTCTAATGTGTGTCCTGGGATATTGTAAAAGGTGCAATATGGTTTATCCTTCCTCCCAGCTAAATTGGATCTTCTATAGCTGGGTGATCTGTTATTTCCATAGTACTTTCTGGTTGCCATTGCGATGGTTTCATTATTAATGGCAGTAGAAGTAAGTTGATTATGCCTCTCCTGCTGTTGTATGTAGGAGAATACTTTGTTAACTGGTGGAAGGGGATCAAACATCATCACTTGAGCTCTAGTATTATCATAGGCCTCATTCAACCCCATCAAGAACTTTATCACACAGTCACGCTGGTGTCTATCTACCAGCACTTTTAATTGTCCACAATTACATTCTGGAAAAGGGTCATATATAGATAGCTCATCCCAGATGGTCTTAAGTTTTCTATAATAAAAACTTACAGAATCATTCTCTTGCTCTTGATCTGCCAACGCCTTCTTCAGCTCGTATATTTCGGGACTATTTTGTTGAGAAAATCTATCCTTAAGTTCTGACCAAATTTTATTAGCCTCATCCATGAAGGCAACACTGGATTTGAGTGAAGGGGATATAGCATTTTGGGTCCATGATACTACCATGTCATTGCATCTCCTTCATGGATCGAAGGCATCACTGGTCTGTTCAGGTTTAGGCAGAGCCCCATTGATGAAATCGAGTTTGTTTTTAGCTCAGAGTGCTCACCGAAGTGCCCTTGACCAGGTAGGATAGTTGTATGTGGTCAGTAGTTCTGTGACCAAGATGGCTCCTGGGTTATCTGAATTTTCCAACTTATATTGTTCAGAAATTTCACTACCAGCAGAATTCATACCAGCAATGGTTGTCATTGCTCTGATACGATGTAAGAAATTAAATGGAAATGAAGATGATGAAGGACACTGATGATTGAATATAATCAGTGATTTTCTTCATACTGAATCGTAAATACAAGGGACAATAAATAGAATGTACAAGGGGATAGAAAGGTAAAGATTCATTCTAACAAACTACATAACAAAAGGAATATTTATTCTACCTAACCATGTGCAATCTATATAGCTGGCATGCCACCTAGATTGATAAGCATGTTGCCTTATGATGTCTATGCATATCTAGCTGATAACACATTGCTCACGGTAGAGCTAAGCTAATAGGTGCACTGCTGATTTTCTCTGTTTTAACACATAATGACATTTATGATATTTTGAATGAGTCTCCAACTCTACCATAATCTATATTAAGCCCTTTCCAAATTTACCTCAACCTTTCAGTTTGAATAATGATAAAGAAAGTGCAAGGATAAAAATAATTTAAAAGTTCAAGTCTAAATTGACAGTGACACATTTTATATATTGAATATTGATTAGTAGAAGAAAAATACCCATATGACCCTAGTCCCTCATTATTTGACAAAACCAACAATTTATTAATTAAAGCTAGACCAAGTACAATAGAAGCATGTTCTCAATTACTAGCTATATGGCTACCTCAATAAAGAGAAACCGAGTGCTGACAAAGCATCAGCCGCTCTGTGTCCTTCCATATAAATGTACAAGGCCTAGAAATGCATGTGAGAAATTTGGTTGATTGGCTCCAACATTTAGCCCATTTCGAATTCAAACCCTCAACATGTACATGGTTCCTATTCTATTGCTCAAGATATAAATTACGTAAGATGAATAACTCTCTAACCACAAGAAGTGCCTACCCTTAAGTCGCATATACAAGACTGGCATCTTAATTAAGTACTAATAGAGACAGTCAAGAAATTAAAATTGTTGACCTCAATTTTTGTACATACGCATGATCAACAGACTCTTGGTCATCTTCTCTCCATGTAGGCATCGCCTATACATTGGAATGCCCTATTAAGAGGCAAAGACCATAGATCGAGAGAAATGTCCCAGACGAGAGAGAAATGTGAGTACAAGAGCGAGTGAAGGGGGTTTGGCTATGGTCACAATTACGTTTCCTTAATTGTGAATGGACTCGCTTATATATAGGAGAGTGTTGGGTCTCGAACCTGTGACCTGCCTGATTAATTGTACTTCCAACAATTCTATTACTAAAGTCGTGTTTCTGGAATGACACTTTTATTATTTAGAGACAATGGTTGGATTGTTGATACTTGGCACTACACTCGCCACTAGATGAGATTCTAGAGTTTTCGACTCTTTATCTTCGATGATACGCCTCTTTTGGATGATTATTGGCTCTCTTCTTTCTGGCTCTTGGTTGCTCTCGCGTCTGTTAGAGAGAATAACCTCATTCTTTCTAGGGTTTACATTCTTGAGTGATTGAATCGTACAAACTGTATATTCTCTTAGATCTACTTCTAATTGGTGTAAAGTGAGTGGTCTTTGATTGATTTGGGTGCTGAATCTTTTGCGATTCGAGCAGTGAATGAGGTGTTAGGTAGAACTTTGTGATCTGGCCTATTTTATGCCTTAAGGGAGTTCGATCTAAAGGCTTTTGTAAAGATAAGTTTCTGTGGCCTTTTGTCTTGTATTCTTGAACAGATCTTTATGATGATGCTATAAACTGTAAAGACTCTATGTCTTGAAAAGCTGCAATGGATGATGAAATGAATTCACTTCTTAAAAATAAGACTTGGGGATTAGTTAAAAGA